CCGTGATCGCCATCGGGATGATGTTGTTAAAAGCGCCTTCTATATCAAGGAAGGCCACCAATGTGTATTCTTTATAGTTAAGGGACGTTTCAATGATCGATGTGATCGCGTGTAGGGCCGTCTCGTTGGATCTTCCTTTCCGATAGGCGTGCTGAGAATCAGAGATTAGATTGGGCGGAATACTCGCCCTGAGATGCAGCCCTAAAAGCTCCATCGTCTTTAAAAGAAAGGACGAAAGACTTATTGGTCTGAAATCTTTGCGGGCAGTGTGCGATGGCTTACCTGCCTTGGGTATACCAGTGAGCGAACAGTTAACACGTTGGTCGTGACCCATGTATGTGGAGCACATCCTCAGTGAGCTCTCCTGGCCTTCGAGGCTCACCGCTGTGTGATCTTCGTTGCTGAAATTTGGGAGCAATGATAAGTGTAACTTTTTTTTTGCCAGCAGGAGTGTCAGGGAAAATTCTGAGACTCACCTAGACTATTGTGTCGTCGGCATAGCTCTCGGTGGATGTCGTCCGACATCTTCGACGCTAAGTCCGTTCGCCGGGTTGGTTTTCGCCCGCTTGGCTTGCTGAGCTTGGCCTGCTGAGCTTGGCCTGGCTGCATAGCGGGATCCTCCGCTGAGTGTTGCCGCTTGGTCGGGGCCTTGGCTGCACCCTTTCCGGCTTTGGCTGGCTGGAAATCCGGGGTTATCGAGCTGGCCCATAGCCTCCGTTCCAACCCCTCTTCCGACGACTTGAAATCCGGGTCGTCGTTGGACAGGATGAAAGCAACGCGCCTCCTGTCTTGGTAGGACGACTTCTTTCCCTGTGGTGCAGTACCTGTGCCTGCCGAGGTTGACGGGGGTTCCCCGGTCACAGAGCGCTTTCCAGCCGGGATTACGCTCTGCTTGGCAGCCACCCCGATAACCAGTTTGCCCCTCCACGTGGATGGGCCCGATTGTCTTACCGGAACCCTCACATCGGTAGCTGCTAGAAGACGGCGGACCGACTGAGTCTCCTTCCCCGTCTTCTTAGGATCTGGTTTCCCAGCCGTTGATATACAGGGATTGGCTTGTCCTTCCGGTACTTTAGGAGTACCGAGCTCCTTTGATGTTTTAATAACACTAGTCAATACGATTTTTCCTCAAGGAACAAAACGAACTTTTTCTTAAAGATTTGGGGCTTAGAAATGGTTTGATGATATATTTTTTTTTTTCTATGGCAGAACTTTTTTTAAAGAATTTTTGAAAACTGGTATTTTTTTATTAACCTTTTTTCAGAGGTAGTGATTGTTTTTTTCACATAACCCTAGTATCTTACGTCTGGTTGTAAAGAACTTTGCTATTTTGAAAAGATAATTAACAGCTAAATAAACAGCTAGAAGTTGAGCCCAAACACTTTGTGATTTCAGCTTACCGTCTGGGAAATATAAAGCATTGAAATGCAAAAATGATGATTTTTGTGCGGTATTTTTTACGAAATTTTGACTTTAAAAACTCAGGAAAAGTCGAAAAAAATTATATACCTGTGCTCGTCCATTTGTTTTGTATATATGTAGGTCAAAGCACGCTGCCTTGCGGTACAATTGGATGATATTCAGAGAGGAAATCTTTGCTTCGTATTGCGAAACTTCTTTCCAGTAGGTATGGCTCCAACATTCCATGGATATTCTGTGGAAGTAATATTTTGATTTTGTGGATTAAGCCATCTAACCAAACGCGGTCGAAAGCCTGGGCGACATCCTGAAAAGCTGCGGCTCAATACTCCCGTCTTTTAAATGCATTTCGTATCTCAGAGGTTAAGCGACTTACTTGTTCCATGGTTTCACATTTTTTGCGAAATCCAAATTGGTGCATCGGCATGGCACTGTTGTAGGTGTTGTTTGATACGATTCAGAAGCAGCTTTTCAACTATCTTTGATAGGCAAGGCAGGATACTGATAGGTTGCACAGCTCGGCAATTCTATGATCATTTTAGTGGAGATGAAATCGTGGCCCGGAGCTTTCTTTTGCCTTGAGATTTGGTCTTTAATGACCCTTGTGACTTCTCCTGATTGGAATATGATAGGCGGAGTAGCTTCGGTATTGTTGGTTGGTGAGAGCACAAAGCTATTTGTTGCTGGGTGTGGTTTGAAGACTTTTTTAGATAGACGGCAAATGTATTTGCCTTCTCTTTCTTGCTGCGAGCCCCCTCTTCTGTTTGTGTACGTAAAGGTGATTCACTCTCGATTGGTGGGCATACGCCTGATTTAGCTTTCCACAGTGGGAATCATTTGCTAGTTGGGGAGAGTTCCTCCATATAGGATATTTGAGCTCGGTTTTTCATCTTCTAGGGTTCTGCGTAGTATGGTTCGCTATTTTTAGCCGCTCTTTCGAGGCAGGTGATCTGTGTGCTTGTCACTCTCGGCGAAGCCGAGTAGCAGCACCTCAATGTGCCTAGAAATACGACTGCTGTTGGAAGCTTTATTAGCTGCTAATATTGGTGTTGAGTGTTTTGTGGCCATCGACATTGAGGTTATTAATGCTTCGACTGAGCTATCAATGTCATCTTTACTATAAATATTTGGCTATCAATATGGGAACTTATGTACTTCTTGTATTGTGGATGGTCGTAAAGGTGAAGTAGAATGGGCCAGTGATCCGATGATAGATCTGTTAGGTGATACATGTATCTGAGCTTGCCTCACTCTTCGTTTGGCCAATATGTAGGCTTGCCCGGAGAGATAGAGTCTAGCTTGTTTCGTGGCCTTATTCCTTTCGGGTTGGTGTGCTTGGCATTATAGTCACCAGCTGCTATAAATCGGTCACCTAGTAGGTCGAAGACTGTTACAAATTCTGTTTCGGAAATGCTGAAGCGCGGTGGGCAGTATACTGCGGCTAGGTTTAGGTAGCCGCTCTGAATTTCAATATGAATTGATGTTGCCTGTAGATAAGGTGTACCAAATGATGGCAACGGAGAGTGCCTGATGCGATGCTTGATCAGAACGCCAGTACCTCCATGTGCCTTTCTATCGGGATGATTTGTCGCATACAATTTATAGCCATCGAGGTGAAAATAGTTTTTATTTGTTAGGTGAGTCTCTCTGATATGCGCATGGCGTCAATGTCGTGTTGAGTGAGGAACTGTAAGAGCTCGCATTTGTGCTGCGAAATGCAATTTGCATTCCAGAAACATATATTTAGACAAGCCAATTAGACAGATTTCTGTTTGATTAGGAGCTCCAGAAGGAGATTTCGGTTGCGCATAAGCTCCTGCATGGTTTGTTGTATGGCTACCATTGTGTTTGGTATAGTTACAAGCATTGACTCAAATTCACTAGGCTATTGCGATGGATTTGCAAGGGTATGTTGGGCAGAAATTTCTGGGATCTGATTTGATGCCTGATGCTGCATTATTCCTGCTGTGGTGGGTTGAAGTGTCGGCTTAGAGACTGAGGCGTACGACCCGTTGTTGTAACTTAACGCCTGAGAAAATAAAACTCCTGGAGTCGTAGTTGATGGTATATATGGTAAGTTTTGTCGGACGACCGGGTTTTCCAGCTGCAGTTATTTGTTGGTTTAGGCGATTTTTAAATTTTTTATAGATAGGACAACCTCTATAGTTGGCAGTACGGTTTTCCCCACAGTTGCTACATTTTTTGGCAAATGGGTCCTCCATATTTACGGGGCAGGCCTCAGTGAGATGAACATAGGCAACGCAGACTGCCCGCAGAGTGCAATAAGTTTTTGTGTGTCCATATTCCTGGCAATTTGTGCATTGGACAGGTCCATTTCGTTTGTGTGGTTCCTCAACGGTGATCCTACGGTGCAGTAGATATTGAAGCTTGTATATTGGGTAAACTTAATTTTTACTTATATGCATACTTTCAGGTGTCAGTTTTACTTTGAACATTGGCTGGGGAGTTTTATTTCTTTTTATTATGTTCATGGCCATTTTGACTTCGAAGCCCTTATCGTTAAGTCCACCTATTAACTCATTGATTGGGACGGTTGGTTCGATTACTTTGATAACCACGTGTTAGCCTTTGCTACTTTTAAGTTGGTAGGTGTAGTAATTATTTTTTGCATTTTCGAGGTATTTCGCAACTGATCGATAGTTTTGTTCGTCATTGACTTGTATTTTTGTTTTATTTATGTAACCCCTTTTTATGGACATGAGTTCATTTATGGAATGAGTTTGTGCCAATTTTCTTAGTTATTTTTTGCGAACATAAATAGGTGACAGCCTTTATTTGTTGGCCTTGGGTATTTTATGCGGTTTTGGGCTATAATTTGGGACAGTGTTTTCAGTTGTTTTTGTTATTTTGGCAGCATTAGTAGTGTTTGTAGTTTGTGGACTTAATTTTCTTTTGATTTGATTTGTTTGTAGTCTGTTTTTCAAACTTATCGGTTGGGAGAGGTGGGGCTTGTCGCAGTGGGTCGATAATACCGGGCGCTGAGCAATTGCAATGGTTGTTGTTGTGGTCGAAGACACAGTTTTGAGCGAGGGAATTGTACTAGTTGTTGTCTATATAAGCCAATCGTTGGTAAGGCAGTCGGAGTCGGGGGATGGGCACTGAGCACTCCATGACCCAGTTGCAATGCAGGGGATAGATAGCGTGCTCTCTCCTCGTTCACTTGCAGTGATGTTTGTTGTTGGTCCTGCTACCTTTGGTGAGCGTATAGAGAAGTACGCGTTTTTTTTGCTTGCGAGAGCCGACGCTCGTCTTGTTGATGTTGCCGGGCTTGGCTCATTTTGACTTTGGTTACAGCGCTTGTGCTCTTTACCGAGCTGTTTTCTTCTATTATTTCTATTATTCTTTATTACACGATTGGATGATTTTCATGGGCAACACGAGAACTAGTACCCACCCATACCCTATTATACAAGTTTTTATTTACGTGCTATGTGCAGTTAGATTTGAAATCGCGACCTCATTAGCAAACCCTTTTTTGCGATTTATGAAAACAGGCATATGTCTGAATATTCTTGTTTGATTAAAGTACATATTATTTTTTATTTCTTATTATATTCCAGGTTATTTCTAACGAAGAAATATATATCCGAAGCGGTTGCAAAAATGGGTTGGACATTTATATCTTTTTTAAGCTGCTTACCACTAGTATTTTCTTTTCCTGAAACTGGTAAGTAGTACAACCACATTCATTATACTTATTAGAATTAGAATAAATTCGAATTATATATATTCTTTATGTGAACCTGTTCGAAACAGATTTCTCCTCCGACCTTGTTATCCATCTTTCATCCATCTATGTTTATGGCCCCGTTTTGATATGGTGTTCTTTCTAGCTAGTGTGTCTCTCTTAGAACCCAGTAGTCCGGTTTTGAAGGGACGATATTTTTGTTATTTAAGATTGATGAGTGACCGATTTTCTGTGGATTTCATTAAAATGAGTCTCGCAGACGTATTGCTGCCATTTCTACCTGCTCCTTTGCAGCGATGTCAAGGCTCTGAAGTCATAGGAACATGACCACGCACGGTAGGGGAAATATCGCCATAAGTATACAAGACTAGCGGCCCGGTATGTGCTTCGCTACGTATAAAGTGAAATAATAATTACCATAATCAATCTGACTATTGTAATTAAGCACGCATCAATTTAGCCAAAACAGCACAACGTATTCGTGATCGCCGTGCAAGATTCAGTACAGGTACAGGGTCAACAGATATATTTCGTACATTACGTTCACGTTGCGATGCGTTAGCTTTTGCGCGTTCATCTGCAGTCTGTGATCGTCCTAGTAATGCCACACCATTTACATTTCGCGTTCGCCGACCTATATTTGCTCCTCTGGCTCGTAGCATTTTTCCTTCATAAAAATGAATAAATCAAATTATAAACAACTTGCCACAAATCAAGATTCAACGTTTGTATGAATGCACTCAACAATATGCTTAAAAACATAAACAAAATAAACACAACAAAGCAATAATTATCGCACCGCATGAATGACATATAAAAACATGCTTGTACTGTTTATACTGAAAAATGTTTCAATTTGACAGTAAAATCCCACTTATTGAATTCATTTGTTACAAAAAATGTGACCAATTTTGTGCAAACTTTACATAAACCATCTACTAAAAAGTTCGAGCAAAGCATTAACATTTGGTCTTGGGTCATAAAATTACAACGAAAAGTGGCATCAATTTTTATATATATTGATAAGAGCCGCATGAAGCGGTTGCACATTGCCATTGAAGGGCGCCGAGATATCCATGCGAGCCTTACGGCAGGCGGCGCTGCAGTCCTGCTATGCCCGAAGGCGACGCCTCGGGAAGCCGCGAGAGAGAGAAGAGGAGTGATTGCGTGCGATCGTGCGAAACGGATCAGACGTGTCACGGAGAGGCCAACATAGTGAAGAAAAATAAAGCGGGATGGAGCTGAAATAACCGAAACAGAGACTGGTACATATATTTTCTTGGTGTGGTGCGGGAATTGGGAGAGCTAGCTGGTGAGTGTACTCACGTCGAGAGACAAATATTTTGCCTGCTAGAGCATTGAAAGTTGCCCTTACCCGCTCGCCACTCCCGATTAGCGGATGTCGACTGTCCTTCTCCCATTCCAACCGAACATGGGCGGCATTCCCTCGAGAGGTGAAGAGAGAATCGCCTGCTGTCGCTCGGTCTCGGCAAGATACATTTTCTTGTGGACGGGACTTTGGCAGGGGCTGAGTTCAATTTCCTCAGCTACAGCCCCTTTGCACTGTTTTTTTTCCTACGTGTACTATGATAACACTACCCGACACGATTTTTCCTCAAGGAACAAAACCAACTTTTTCTGATAGATTTGTGGCTTAGAAATTGTTAAATGATATTTTTTTCTATTGCAGAACTTTAGCTTGAGTAATTTTTTTTTTTCAAAGGCCTAAGTTGCAGAAACTTTGATTCGCTATATTTTCATGAATATCTGTTTTATTACCACGAATCAAAAATCCTATGAAAGGTGGTACAATTTTCTTCTCAACGTTATATTTTTTGTTGATATATCAACTTCAGATTTTGAGTAAAAACCAAATGTAAGATACTTAAGTTATGTGACAAAAGAAGTGCTACCTATGAAAAAAGTAAAAAACGAGAAGGAACGTGTGAGTCGCTTCTGGGGACGCGACTCTACTTATACCCGTACTCTTCAGTATATACATTTTTGAACATGATTTTTTAGAATTTTATAATTAATACATTTTAAATTTTTTTGCTACATATGTTTTCTACATCTATATATATACAGTGTATATTCTACATATAACATGTAGATTATACATGTAACATTTAGATTATAAGTCTCCTCCGCTAGGGGTTGCTCGCGCACTGAACGCGGCAAAGTGTGCGAGCGAGAAAGAGAATGAGTAGCGTGGTCGTTACTGTCAGGAGGGGGCGGGGGAAACAACTAAATACCAATTTCTTCATTCTGGCTATAATTATGATCTGATCTGGTTCAGATTCGGCAATCTGGTAGATATCTTTAAAAATGTGCCTGCCACAGATTTTCGTCCTCTGTGGGGGCGGGGCGAAATTTTGAAATACACTTGTAGCAGTGTGATATCACATGAGTCTGGAAACCAAATTTGGTTTCTCTAGCTCTTATAGTCTCTGAGATCCAGGCGCTCATCGAGACGGATAGACGGACGGACAGACGGACATGACTATATCGACTCGGCTATTGATGCTGATCAAGAATATATATACTTTAAGGGGTCGGATACGTTCTGACATAGAAAAAAAACCACAATTCTTTAAAAAAATGTAAAGCTCAAATTCTATCAGAAAAAGTTGGTTTGATACGAAGCGGGAAAAATGTTCAGTTTTGTCGAGTAGTGTTACCTGCCTCTTAATTGATATGACAATATTTTTTTTGCCAAAATGCATCTATCAGCTGATTCCTGTCAAAATTTGAAGTAGATTGGCCGTTTTGTTGGTTATTTATGACGATTAATACCAAAATGCCTCGAGCTTTGAAAAAAAACGAAAAATGCGAGTTTTGTGTGCTGATTAAGCATTTTTTTGAGGAAAAAAACACTACTGAAACCAAGAAAATGCTTGATAAATATTATGGGATCTCTTCTCTATTGATTTCAATGGTAATAAAGTGGTTTACTATCCGTTATGGGGGAAATGTCCGATAACGATTTAGCAGTGCAAGCGCAGGCCCCCCGGCGTTGATTTCCTGTGACTGCACCGGGAACCTGTGACTGAACCGGGAACCACAGACGGAAGCTTCGTCTTCACTGGTCGCTCAGTGTCGGAGGCAGAGTTGGCTACGGCCTTCTCTCGACTATGATACAACGAGGAGCCGCAGAAGGCGGAGCCACAAGTCACGGCTCCCAACATCCAGGTCGACTCGGGTCCACCACCTGTGACGGACGAGAAGACGGAGGCTGAGACCTTACGCAAGCGGCTTTCGGGATACAGGGCATCGGCAAAATACCTTCGTGGTATTAGCCAACGACACCACGATACGCTGACCGCGAGGGAAAGGAGCCTTAAAAATAAGCACGAGCAAAACGTGCGGAGGTACGAGCGGCTTAATGGAGTCGCTCTTACCAACGGAGACCAAGTCCCCCCAAGCGCACAAGCGGCGGTGACTGAGGACCCCAAACCATCGACTTCAGCGTCAGCATCAGCTGGCACGAAGACTAAGGTTTTTTTTGTTATCATTTATTATTGTGTAACAGTAGGGTAACAGTAGAATTATTATAACTAATGTAAAAAAGGTGGGTGGTGCCAGAAACCTGCGGGGCTGCCGCGAAGCTTTGCTTCGTCGTGCCTCCTGTTCACCCACCTACTGATGTCCGGAATTAGGGTATGAGTGGAAACGTCGAGCTCCAACGAGATTTCACTAGGTTCCTCGGCTAGGTCCACCACTGGAAGCATTCCGGCGATGACCAGAGCCGCATCTTCCGAGATGGTTCGAAAGCCGCAGCTGACTCGCAGGGCTCCCAACCGGTGCGTCGCGTCTAGCCCTTTCCTGTATGACTTGATCCTCGCCGCCTCAGAGTAGCTTTTTTGCTGACTTGTGCTTGCCCTACATGCCGTTGTCAGTGCGCCGATGAGGTTCGTTGAGCAGTCCTCTGCGGTTCCCAGGGCCTCAGGAATGTCGCGGACAGGTCTCCTGTAGTGGCAATTATAATGGCGTCTGGCCTATTACGCTGTAGACGTCTGGCGTCTGGCGTCTGTGTTGGTCGTACAACCGGCGCATGGCTTGGCCGGCTTCTGGGCCTGCTGCTGACGGTAGACCATGAGTCGATGACTCCGTTAGTTTGCCTACGGAAGGGGATGTCTGTTGGTACGTCATCTCTGGTGCGTGGACGTTGCACAGCTCCTCTTGAATTCTCGCGCACATCGCCTGGTTAATGTACCGCGCTGCCGGTCTCCTCTCTATGATCCCGAGGGCCAGCCCGGAGACGAAGGTGGATCAGCCCTCAACGTCATCGTCTGCGAACGCGCGAGTGAGAAAGGGGAAAGAGGTGACCGGGAAGCAGAGGGGGAAGACCACACCTCCGACGCAGAACACGGCGAGTGCCAAGGCACCACCAACGCCTTCTGTAGGCACCGGTGGAGCCGACTGGTCGAGAGCCAAGGTTCAAGCGGCAGAGGACGGACGACTCCACAAAAGCTTCCGAGCCGAAGAAGGCGAAACCAGAACACATTCTGGCCAGCCAAGGATCGCCGGCCGATCTGCAGGTAGCCATCATCGACCGAAGTCACCCAGAGGGGAAGATATCGGACGTCAATTGGCTGAAGGCAGAATCGGCGATCCTGATCGCCATGAAGGATGGCATTGTGCGCACAGATGTGGCAATGCTGTACAGCACTTAGGAGGAAAGTGGAACGGCCGGAGGAGTGACTACTGTGTTTCAGAGTTCTCATGGAAAAGAAACTTTAAAGGACACATATCGGACAGGGAAAAATGGAAGAGTAACATGGCCCTGGGGCAAAACGAGCTCTCGAACATATCCCTTAGACAACCAGACTGGTACAGTGTATTCCAGGCAGAGATATATGCAGTATGGCAAGCAGAAAATTTGGTATACACCTTGGAGATACCTCCGAGGAACATAGCAATCTGCGTTGACAGTCAAGCTGCAATCAAAGCAATTCTACAAGACCATTCTTGATACG